TCACGGTGTGCCGACGAAACGTTATATCTTCCATTATATTATAAGTTCCATACAATGTTGCGTTGGATGAATTGGTATCTTTGCATCTATCAACCTAATGCCTGTATTAATCATTTGGATGAGTTCAAAATCTTCCACCACGTGATATTGCTATCAAGATTCCGCGGCATAACTTGCGCGAAGAAAAGTTAGCTGCGCGTGAATGCAAACGTTGCCGCGGGGGTGAGAGCGAGCGGGGGTAAATTAGAGCGAGCTGGGGTGGTGGGGGTGGGAGGTGCCGCCGCCTTCCTACGTGAGACGCGCGGGTCGTGAAATGGACGGCAGCGCTGTGATGTATGGGGTCTGTATGATGCTTTGTGATGTGTGCTGTCTGTATGATGCTGTGTGATGTATGGGGTCTCTGTATGATGCTGTGTGATGTATGGGGTCTGTTTGATGCTTTGTGATGTGTGCTGTCTGTATGATGCTGTGTGATGTATGGGGTCTCTGTATGATGCTGTGTGATGTATGGGGTCTGTATGATGCTGTGTGATGTATGGGGTCTGTTTGATGCTTGTTCATCAAGCAGAATGAAAAAATTCGTTTCGCTCAACGAATTTTCGTCATGTTGATTTGAAATCTCAAATCTAATAACAAATCAATTGTCGAAAATGCATTCTACTATCTTTAGGCAATATTAATAAATGTTCTAGTATTTTCCTATGATAACGAAATGTTCGTATTGGGTCGATTTTAATAAATATTTCCTTTTACCTGCAGCGTGGCGACTTTAGTGAGGTGGCGACTTTAGTGGCATTGACGGTAGTTAATCTGCAATAATACCACTAAGATTAAGAAAAAGCTTAATATAAAGGAAAAAAATCAAGAAGTGTCAGAATTACCCACGATGTTGGAATATACTGCATTTACCCTAAGTAGGATAAACCCAATCACCAATCCTTGGCTAAAAAATTGGAAAATTTACCACAAGCATGGGAATTTTATCGCCTTCATGGGTCTAGCCCATCAATGTCATTATGTCACAGTCTCACAAAGTGACACAGAGTACAGACTCATGGTTGCCACTTGCCACTGGTTACAGTTGTTACACTTACACCATTGACCATTACAGCAATACAGCCTACTGAGCCTAGGACCTAGTAGGCTATTCCTAGTGCAGTAGTGCCTACTGCCTGCCTAGAGTGCCTACTAGCCTTTATTTTGGCACTGAGTAGCCTAGCCCTAGGCAGTGCCGGCGTGCCGCAGTAGGCTACAGCCACTAGCCAGACTGAGCCAGAAGCCAGTCAGCCACAGCCCACAGGTGGCTTTTGCTCAATTTTACAAAATTGTTGGTCATGTTGGTCTGGTAAACTCCTTTGTAATTAATTACATTCAAATATTATCACATAGCCTTATAGGAAGATGAAATTCATATCAACCGACAACTGTCTAGGTACTGAGTCTACCATCTACGTGACGATGACGTGAGTCCAGGGTCCAGGCTGACCAGCAAGACACCAGTAACCAGTTAGGCTAGGTAGGTAGGTACATGGATGAATTAATACATATATAATAAATAAATGTATTAGGTAATTCAACCATGGGTAGCCAGGGTAGGTAGGCTACGTTGTTCGTTGTTGTGGTTCATTTGTTTTTATATTAGATCATTAACATTCAACTTTATTTTCTAAAATTCAAGATTTAAGAAGTTTATAAATGAATATAGACATTAGAAGAATATGTATATACTTTTTAAACCGTTTTGCGTAAATAACAATTATTAATTAAACACGCGATATACTAACGAACACATTACAGCATGTTGCAGTTTGCACACCAAACGCACGTAGGACGTAGCTGTGGGGAGCATGTTGCTGGAAAAGCTCTGATAAGGCAGCTAATTAAATAGACTAATAGTTAAATATTGATTGAAAAATGTTCAGCTTGTTCTGCCGTAGATACATGTTAATTAAAAGTTAGAATATTTTATACGGCAAATGAAATGTCGAGAAAAAGTTTCCATGTTTCGGAACCATGACTTCTGTAGCTTCAAAAATCCCAGTGATGGTTAATCAATATAATATGCTCAGTTCCCTTTTCATTGAAGTATACCTGTAATCCATAACACAAGAGAGCTCAACGATGTATCATCCAATTTGTGATAATAATTTCTAAGAAAGTGCAGTAGGTAATTTGTCAAAACAAGCATTTATCACAACTCATTTTCAAACATAATAAAGTTTCTTTTATACGGCCCATACAGCCTATTTGAAGACTTCATAACCAACGAAGTTTGGGAGGGCTGCCAAAAGTTGTGCATATAACTCTTGAATGAGCTTTGGAGCCAAAGTCCAGCGCAAGCATGTCAGATAACACTCAACCTCTGGGGAAAACCGCAGACTGCGTTGTAACACCGTGAGCCAGGGCAGTTTTACTCTGCAGCGTGAACACTGTTCGGACAATTAGAATAGAAGTGTCGGCACTGAAGGTGATGCTGTGTCATGTACTGGGCTGTGATGCTGTGTGATGTGCTGGGCGGTGATGCTGTGTCATGTACTGGGCTTGATGCTGTGTCATGTGGGCGGTGATGCTGTGTCATGTACTGGGCTGTGATGCTGTGTCATGTGCTGGGCGGTGATGCTGTGTCATGTACTGGGCTGTGATGCTGTGTCCGATTCTTGAATTTTTCGTGACTTGATTCACAAGGGATCCGGCCTTTGGAACCCGATCATTCCATAACTGACGATTGATTGAGATAGCTGCTGGACTTATTGCCTGGTCCGTAATTTGCTAGGCATTTTAGGACTGAACATATGCTCCTGCATAGCTTCGTCTAGTCTGTTTTTGAAGGCGTTCATATTCGGAGCATCAACGATGCTAGCAGGGAGGCTGTTCCACATGTCGGTGACTCGAAGCGAGAAGAAATGTTGTCGTATGGATGTGTTACAACACAGTTTTTTTCAGTTTATAGCCGTGGCCCCTGGTGTTGGTTCTCGTTTCAAATTCTAGCAATCATTCTGGGACCTTGTATAAGCCATTAGTATACTTGTATGTTTCAATGAGTTCCCCACGCAGACGTCGATAACTGAGGCTTGGAAGCTTCATAATCTTTAATCTTTCTCCATAGGACTTGCCTTTCAAGCCCGGAATTATCCTTGTTGGAAGTTGTTGCACGTCTTTGAACACTCTCTATTAAATTTTTGTCCTTTTCAAGTTTCGGTGACCACTCGACGTTTCCAAACTCTGGCTAGGTTCGGGCGCACGACAGCAACAAACAACTGCTTCATAGCTTCTGCATCTAGGAACTCGAAAAAGCGTCTAATCAATCCAAGTCGTTTATTGGCTTTATTAACTTGACCTTCAATATGCTTAGAAAATTTCTCAACTCATTGTCGATATTAACTCCTAAGTCTTTTTCCATTGTCGACTTCGACATCATCACCCTGTCGTTGCAACCGTGTCTTCTCATACTGTAATCTTGCTGTTCATTATTCTTGGCAAGGTGGATAACTTTGTCAGCGTTAAAAGCAGCTGCCACTTATCAGCCCAGTCAACCAGCCTGCCAGGATCACCTTGTAACTGTACTTTTTGCGACGTATTCTTCACTGTATTATAAATTTTTGTGCCGTCAGCATACATCGAGCACACGCTAGACACAGCTTCTGGCAGATCGTTTATAAACGCAACGAATAAAACAGGCCCGAGAACGCTTCCTTGTGGCACGCCGCTGCGCAATGGAGCCCAGTCTGATACGGACCCATTAATACTGACACGTTGGCGTCTCCCTACTAGAAAATCTCTTATCCATTTGAGTACATTGCTGTCAATTCCAAAGCCTGTAATTTCCGCAACAGCCGCTCATGTGGGACACTGTCAAATGCCTTGGCAAAATCGAGGTACACTGCATCTGTAGTGATCTCGGCAGTATTGTTAGAATAAGATAGACGTAGACATCTTGCTAACTCAATATTGTACATATTGTCATCCGTAACAATGGTCAGTAACAACGGTCAGTAACAACAAAAATCATAGTCAACTATAACAAACATAATTTGCGAAGTGTTTTATAATACTTTTAAGATCCGATACGAACAATTATAAAATTTAACACTAGAACAGCAACCATAGCACAATTTGATACCTAACGATGGCAACATTTTGAAAGACTTCCGGTTTCCCGGAGGCCTATTCCGAGCCCCTCACTCTTGCTCTGACGCCAACACGAGAGGTTGCCACCGTGCCTCCTTAGTAGTTCCTTATTAGTGTTGTGATATCTATACGCTGGGCCTATTTTACGTACATGTTGACACCAAACTAAATAAACTGGAAAACGGACCCGCACCCCCTATTACCCTACCTACATTTAGGGAAGTCTCAGCCAAATATAAAATCGTCAGCACAATATTAAACGAATAGTATTCCTCAATCTTCAGTGAGATTACTCAACCTCCCTCAGTGATCCCTCAGTCTTCCCTCAGTATTCCCTCTGACTTCCCTCAGTGGTGACCCAGAACAAACACCCACCTAGACAGCACTCACATATTCACCCAAACCATATTGTCGACCAGCCTGGAAAATACGGACCCCGAAATGGCAACTAACTCCAACTACGCCAACGCCGTCGCTAACACCAACGAGAACGTCACTGCCACCGAAGAACCAGAACACCAAGGAAACGTCCACCATGTGTCGGTCAATGTTAGAAGGAGCAACATCGCAGACTAATGTTTTTATGTATATTATTTGTATAGCTATGCTCTCTCCCGTAACGTGCGTTCATATAGGTAGGCTTGTTACTGGAAGCGTTCGCTCAGCAGCTCCGTGCAGCCATGAGGCTAGCGAGCGAGCGTCTGCTCGGTGCAATGGAAACCACCATGGCTCAGCCTTCACATTTTTTCTCTCTTGTTTCTTTCTTTACAGTGTCCAAGCTTCTGGTCGTCTCCTATTTCTTGTGGAAATAATATAAATAAACACGTAGTGCTAACTTGTGGAACAGACTAATTTTGCTTTTCTCTGTGCAGTCTTTGAACGCCGCCTCATTGCAATCACAAGCAGCGACCAGCGCCGTGAAGTTCCGGTTGTGCGGGGCAAAGCGAGAAGTGGGCAGGTGGTGAGGCAGAAGCCCGTGTGGGGCTCAGCAGGGTAGTGGGGCGAGGACAAGACAAAGGACAACTCTGTGTGGGGCTCGGTGGAGGACCGCATCAAGATGTCGCTTAAGACAGAACACAAGCCCAAGCTGGTGAGTGAGAGGACACGGGTCCACATATGAGCTGAGTAAATGGAGTGATTTCACCTCCGTTTAGGAGGTGACTGTTGTGTTGTTGTTGCCTCGTGCCCGGCTCCAGTGTCACTGGTCCAGCCGAGCATGGAAAAAACATGCAGACGCAGCCGAGTCTGCTCAGAGGTCTGCAGTGTTGAGGGATTTTGGGATATTGACACAATTGTGGGGCACATCATCAGAGGAGTGATGGCAGGAGTTGTATATTCTGATTAATTATTGTTCATTCTGATTCTGTAACTGTCTAGAAGTAGTATGCATTGATCGAAGTTAAGTTGTGCTATCGTCTGTCCTGTTGATCTCGTAAATGATTGTTAAGCTTTGTCCATTGTTTTGAGTAGACGAGGCCCGCCTCTGAGCAGCGCGGCGTTGGTGTGGAGTGTGTTACTAGCTCTTGATGTGCCGTCAAACGGGGCAATGAGGGACGGGTGGGGTAAATCGGGTCAGTCCTTCGACATTTCGTAGAATTGTTGTAGCAACTAAACTAATTGGAATATTGCAAAACTAAAAATAGTAGCGTAAAGTTCAACATTTTTCCTATCTGTGTAGCCTAAACCAAGTTAAGAAATCAAACATTTACTACGGTACCTCTAAATAATCCCCTGAAAAAAGTGTCTAATGTGAGATTTTGGAAGAGTAGGTACCTCTGCTAAGGTCTGAAACAAGAAAAAAATATTCGCCGTATTAAAAAATGTTACTTCCATAAAAGTTGCACACAGGTGTTTGCAAACGTGATCGACAGAATTTGCGTAGCTCATTGCGAAAAAAATTGTGCTCATATCCGCACGACGGGGTAATAAGGGACACCCCTAAAAACGCATTTACAGTAGAACCTCGATTAGCAAAGGCACCAGTTTACGAAAAAATCAATTAACAACAATGAATTTTGATTACATTTGTCTCGTTCAGCGAAAAAAATTTCACTCGACGAAAAATTAATGCATCGTCGGTCATCAGAAAATTGTGCACAAATAGAATGTCATAGATAGAATTGTGCACCGGGCAAAATAGAATGATAAGTAAGTAACCTAAACTTATTTTTCAAAAAAAATTATGGTTGTCACTAAAATATTCCTTTTTGTTTCCGGTTAGATATGTTTTTTACAATATTTGTATGTTATAGTGAATTCGCTTAACCCAATTAAAATGGTGCGAAATTACAAGCCGTCCTGTAAGCTTACAGATACGTAATAAATGCTATATGGCTTCTGATATGAAGCTTGCAGTTTACAAGGTTGTTGTAAATGCTCAATGGCATGTCCATTGATACGGTTATGTCACATAAGTAATATGGTATAACGTATGGATATGGTAATATCATATGAATGAAGGAAGAAACAAGTAAAAATCCCAGAAGATGTCATTTATTCTACATCTAGAATCTAGATCATCTACAAAGGAAGAGGACTTCAGAGTACTATTAGTAATGGATGAGTACACTCTGCATGCTTCAAAAGTTTTAAAATTAAGTTTTATTTCAAGTGTCCCTTATTATCCCGTTCCCAGGGATAATTCGGGAGGCTATATTATTTTGCGTCTGGCACCTTACGAATAGAATATAGACTTTTTTCGGAGATGCCATGCGATAGCCCTCGCAAAGACCTTTTAAATGAGCTCAAACTCCTTTCATGCTAAGAAGTTATTAACGAAAAACTCTCGAATTGTTATTGTTAAAAAACGCTCAACTAACGAAAAACGCTCCTTTATTGCCCCGTTTTACGGTATTTGCTGCACAGAGTCTCTTATGTTTCGAGGTCGGTGGTTAGCTCCTGTCATTTGGTGGCAGGCGTGTTGTGGATTGTGGCATTGCTGGAGGTATTGGGCAGAAAGAAGGTCGGTCTGTTGGTGAACATTTAGCATTTGACATTCAGAGTGGAGATGTTATTTAATTTGGTTGTTGTATTGTGACATCCGTTCATTGTTCTCAGTGTAGCATTTTAAACTGTTTGGAGGCGGATGGTGTGGCTGCAAGAAGTTATAGGGGTCCAGATTATGACACCTTCTAGTGTTGTCACTGTAGAGTTAGTTGTTCCTGAGAGGGCTATTAGTATGTTTTTACGTTTGGAACTTTCGCTGCCGTGGTTTTGTGGTGGATGCATGGTGGAAGTGAGCTGTGATGGTGATCAAGGTTTTAGACCAAGCAATTCTCGGCTGTGTTAAGCGGAAGGAGTTAGTCATTAATTTTGACATAAGTGTGGTAGTGACACTAGGCCGTGTGTGGTGTTATGAGAATGACTGCTATGTTGATTTGGTGGTTGAGATATCCAGGGTTCGGAGAGTGGAAAATCGCAGAATTGCGGCAGGCAGTTGTTGTGTTGTTGGTTGAGATGGTCAGAATCTGGACCGGTGTTGTAGATGGTAAACTCTACGGCATATAGGAGATGATTTTCGTGTTAGGTGGCGGTTGAGGTGCTTTGGAGACGTAGTGATTTTAGAGGGCAGGTAAAAAACTGAGCCCCGTTGGACGCCTGTTTTGATGTTTGGTGACGAAATTCCGTCGAGGCCGAACGGCCGTTAAGGCAGTTGAGACCCAGCGGGTGATTGATTTGCATAGTTGAGAGGAGGAGAAGCCGTTGATCAGAACCCAGTAAGTGGCGGTATCAAAGACTGGTGAGATCCAGTGATGGTTCGGTGAACGGGTCTTTTTTGGTTGAGACCAAGCATGATGGGAGTGGTGGGTGAGGTGAGATGATGTGCGTGGTGAGTAGGTATAAGAAAGCCGTGTTTATAATCGGCCATGGTGGGGTAGCCGGCACCGCTCCATTTCTTCGATGGCGGGAACTGATGTGTGCTGGGATGTGTACCTACTACCTTGACATTAGTGCGCGATGTGTACTGCCCCCTCCAATTGATGTGTGCTGTGATGTGTACCTTTACATTAGTGCGTGATGTGTACTGCCCCCAACTGATGTGTACCCCAACTAACTGCCCCCCTGGCAACTAACTGCCCCCCCCCCTGTGCAGCGGGAGCGCAAGGAGCGTAAGCTTTACAGCGACGACTGGGCGCTGGGTGACGAGGAGATCGAGGGCTACCACACCTTCAACCTGGGGGAGAAGATCACGTCAGACCAGTTCACGGGGGGCTTCGTGAAGGACATGAGTGATGAGGGTGAGTCAGGGTGATGAGGGAGGGTCAGGGTGATGAGGGAGGGTCAGGGCAATGAGGGTGGGTCAGGGTGATGAGGGAGGGTCAGGGTGATGAGGGTGAGTCAGGGTGATGAGGGAGGGTCAGGGTGATGAGGGTGGGTCAGGGTGATGAGGGTGAGTCAGGGTGATGAAGGAGGGTCAGGGTGATGAGGGAGGGTCAGGGTGATGAGGGAGGGTCGGGGTGATGAGGGAGGGTCAGGGTGATGAGGGAGGGTCGGGGTGATGAGGGAAGGTCAGGGTGATGAGGGAGGGTCGGGGTGATGAAGGAGGGTCGGGGTGATGAGGGAAGGTCAGGGTGATGAGGGAGGGTCAGGGTGATGAGGGTGGGTCAGGGTGATGAGTCAGGGTGATGAGGGAGGGTCAGGGTGATGAGAGAGGGTCAGGGTGATGAGGGTGAGTAAGTGACTTTAATTGCAAGACCGATTCCTAACTAAAGACCTGATAACGCTAGCTGCGGTCCTTATCTAAAGGCCTGGTAACGCGAGTTACCTTCCGACTGTGAACTGCTGATGAACTGTCATCGAAAAGCTAAACCTTCATTCAAGCCATCACTTGCCCTGGCGCTAACCCTGCATTGCAACAATGTGCAGACTTCTCGCTGGGCTACTTCCAGCAGCACGGCTTCAACTGGCCGCTGCTCTTCAAGACCAAGGAGAAGCTCGGCATCGTCGTTCCTGACGAGGACTTCAGCGTCAGCGACGTGCGCCAAGCCGTGGGTGAGTGCTGACGCCAGTGACGTGTTGCCAACACTCGTCACGTGCGTTGACTGACTGATTTTCTGACAGCCCTGACTCTCTGGCCTGTTTTGCCCAACTGTCATTTGCTTGGCTGTTATGTTTGCTCTCAAGCAACGTGAAGGTTCTGCTTGTTGAGCCCAAATAACACGTGATTGACTGGCCTGTTGAGCCCAAATAACACTTGATTGACTGGCCTATATTAAGCCCAAATAACACGTGCCTGGCTTCTATATTCGTCCCCTACACCGAGTTATTGGCTGCTGTGCAGGGTCGCGGCGTATGCTTGACGTGATGGACGTGTCCACGCAGAAAAACGTCGAGATGACCATGAAGGACTGGCAGCGATACTTTGAATCCCAGGACAAAGACAAGCTCCTAAACGTCATCAGCCTCGAGTTCTCACACACCAAGCTCGAGAACCTGGTTCAGGCGCCAACAGTAGTGAGTTTGAACCGCGTATACCTTTAAAGAACCTTCCAATCTTCTTGTGAAGGTCTCGCGCCTCCTGTTGGGTGTAAACCATTAACCTGGCCCACTGTTGTGACTTTAAACCATATTGAATCTGGCACAATTGTGACTTTGAACCTTACTGAATCTGGTCCACAGTTAGGCCTGTGAATCATACTGAATCTGGTTCACAGTTGTGACTTTGAACCTTACTGAATCTGGTCCTCAGTTAGGACTGTGAACCTTAGTGAGTCTGGTCCACAGTTTGGACTTTGCACCACAGTGAACCTGGTCCACCTCGGAGCACAAAAGTATCATGGATATGGTTGCAGGTGCGACAAGTTGACTGGGTGGAGAAGGTGTGGCCACGACACCTGAAGGAGGCGCAGACGGCGTCCACGAACGTCTTGGAGGACATGATGTACCCCAAGGTGCAGAAGTATTGCCTCATGTCCGTCGGTGGCTGCTTCACAGACTTCCACATCGACTTCGGAGGCACCTCAGTGTGGTACCACGTGCTCAGGGGCAGGAAGGTATGTAACTACGCACCGTCATTAAGATAATGCACATTACCTGCTTAACTTATCCCTTAATATTATGACGAGTCTCAACCGGTACCGCCCACGGCCACGCTGGCGTCTTCTTCCCTCCCCTCTCCCATGTCTGGAAGCGAACCTTTGCGTCCTGAGTAACAGCGACATATTCTGCAATTCTGCAGGCCACTGCATGTAATAAGGATATATTATCCGAAATATACCAGTTATCCTCTGAGTAGGCCACTATATATTATGATCTTTGATTACAATCCTTTCCTCCGCCTCAGCAGATATTATTTGATGCTCACGCTGAAAGAGGCCTGAAGCGTATAGATAAACCTCACCCCACCCCAAACTGTAATTACCCATTTACGCGTTTCTATCCCCAACCCTCCCCTCAAACTGTAACCCTCATTTCTAGTGCTTAGTATCCTCGTGTAGGTTATCATCCCACCTTAAAGCCGTGTGTAACCTCCAATGACCGCTTCAGATTTTCTGGCTGATCCTTTTCCATGGAGGGAACCTGCCGCGTGTTCATAGCCTCACGCGCGAAACTTGAGTCATTCTCACCTTCAGATCTTCTGGCTCATCCCCCCTACGGAGAACAACCTGCAGCGCTACGAGGCGTGGGTGCTCTCAGGCAAGCAGGGCGACGTCTTCTTCGGCGACACCGTCGACAAATGCGAGCGCATCGAGCTCACCACGGGGAACACGTTCTTCATCCCCACCGGTACGTCCTCCATCCCCACGGGCAGCACGTTTTCTTCCCCATGGCTTGTTGAGCTCCATTCGTGGCCGCCTCCTGTGTGTTGGGTTGGTCGGGTTTCTTTACATTATTCATAAAAATGGTATTGATAATAGCCCATCAATTCCTTTTCGATACGCAGTCTTTTTCTCTATATATCATTGAGGTGAAAGTGTTACAATCTTGTACATGAGCCTCGTACATAGCGCACGTGCCGCGCTCGTCGGAGCTCTCGCACACATACTACACTTACGGTTCTCGTACACGTGCAGCTCTTCTTACACACATGCAGCTCTCTTCTTACACACGTGTAGCTCATTTCTTAAACACGTGCAGCTCTCTTCTTATACACGTGCGTGTGTAGCTCTCTTCTTATATACGTGCACGTGCAGCTCTCTTGTAACACACGTACACGTGCAGCTCTCACACACTTCCTCGTGCCGCAGGCTGGATCCACGCAGTGTACACGCCCGAGGACTCGCTTGTGTTCGGCGGCAACTTCCTGCACAGCTACGGCATCGAGAAGCAGCTGCGCGTGGCACAAGTCGAGGACACCACACATGTGAGTGGCTTGGGGAGTGTGGCGTGTGTGGTGTGAGTGTGGCGTGTGTGGTGTGAGTGTGGCGTGTGTGGTGGGAGTGTGGCGTGTGTGGTGTGCTACGGCATTGAAAACAGCTAGAATGGTCCTTTAGAACTAAGCACAATTTGTTCACGATTTTAGCTGTTTCTCTGAAGACAAGATTATTTGTTCGCATTTCAATACAGTAGTTGCCACATAGGGTAAATTGTTCCATTGAGGCGACGTCAACGTGGCAGAGCTTAGGTGCCAAATACGTGCCACTTATGATCTCGAGTACCCTGCGGACCTCATGCCCTTAACGTATCTCACGCCCCACAGGTACCACAGAAGTTTAGGTACCCGTTCTTCACGGAGATGCTGTGGTACGTCTTAGAGAGATACGTACACGTCCTTCTCGGTCGCACCCACCTCAGTCTGCCGCAGTCCGAGCACGAAAAGCTTTTGGCCGCCGTTAAGAATACCAACCTCACCGTAAGTCCCGGTGACCAATACCAACCTCACCGTAAGTCCCGGTTACCCATATCAACCTCACCGTAAGTCCCGGTGACCCATACCAACCTCACCGTAAGTCCCGGTGACCCATATCATTCTCACCGTAAGTCCCGGTGACCCATATCAACCTCACCGTAAGTCCCGGTGACCCATATCAACCTCACCGTAAGTCCCGGTGACCTATATCAACCGTAAGTGACACGGCGAAAGCGTCCTACCTTAAAATTAACTTCCCTTAAGATCTGCCTATACCACAACCACAGGCTTGACTCGTCCATGAGATCAATGTCTGGTCTGAGGTAAAAAGTTTCTAACTTATTCAGTTTTTTAGTATGTCTTGTCGTTAGTGTGTATGCGTCGTATAATGACGTATTGTGTATATATTATATCTAACTTTTGTATGTAAATTGTGTAAATGTTATTCTGCCGCACAGTGTGGCGTTATGTTATCCTATCGCATATGCTTAGCGCTGCCTCCAGGCGCATGAATTCTGTGTCCCGCCACCTGTCAAGCAGCTGATGCCTCTCAGGCGCGTGGCTCTCCCACTGTCTTGGGGACATCTCTGTTAAGTAATGCTGACGCACTCGTGCTCACTTCGTTTACCCCCGGCAGGATGAGAAGCACGTGGCGGAGGAGAAGCACGTGCACGTGACGCGCTACGAGCTGCACGGCCTCAAGGCCATCGTCATGTACCTGCACTCGCTGCCCAACAGCCGCAAGAACGTGCCCGACCTGCTGGCCGACCCCGTGCCTCTTATCCAGGTACACGTGCCCGACCTGCTGGCCGACCCCGTGCCTCTTATCCACGTGATATTTAACGTACCCACGAGACATCACACGTACCCGCGTAGCATCAAGCTCACCCGCTTGAAATCAAACGTACCCACGTTGCGTTTTGATTCCTACACTCCCACGCGTCTCGCTTGTCCCCCATACCCCCATGTGTCTCGAGTCCTTGATACCGAGGCCCTGCGCGCGTAGCTCACTTGTTTCCCATACTTCACATGTCTCACGTTTCCTACAAATTCATCATTTCTAACCATAACCTCTTCAGTGTCCCCCATACCATCGTCACCGTGCCTGAGCTCTGTACTGGTACTCGGCTGATAACATGCAAACTCTCATAGTTTACCTATCGCTGCTCTCGGTCAGGATACGATGGCGCATTCAAAGCTCAAGCAACAAGATGTGAACGAACTTTCAGGCGACTGTGCTAATCTATTTATACCAATGCCTTAATTATGCATTTAATCAAAATGTGTCTGTTAAAGGGCTCACGTGTCCTCTGTTGTTTCTATTGTGAAGGATTAAAATCAGGATAGGTAATGCTTAATATTGTTTATTTGATATGACCTTCGTTAAAATCGTAATTTGCACCAGGTAAAATAGATTAGTAGCTTATTACATTAAATTAACATTCACCAGTGAAAATTGATAAACACGACATAACACTTCATTGCGCATGAGATATTGCGCACGGCAACAAGCATAAAGTCACGGTAGCTACTAGCAGACCATATTGCTCAGGTGCAGACAGCGCTCTGAACTAGATCGCTCCGGTAGACAGCGGGCAATCAACTAACTAGTAACTACCGCTGCTGCCGCTACCGCCGATCACGACTAGCCGCAGTCGCGCAGCTCAAAGGTTCTAACGCAATGTATATGGCGCGACTACCTAATGCGTGTTACCTCGTAACTAGAAGTGATTCAAAATGTGATTTTGGGAACGACAGTTACTACAAAATGTTTCTCAGTTGGAAACGACAGTTTCCCTTCACTTGTTCTCCCCCCGTGTCTCACGTGTTTCACACGTCTCTCGTGTCTCTCGTGTCACATGTCTCTCGTGTCTCACATGTCTCGTGTCTCGCATGTCTCTCGTGTCTCACATATCTCTCGTGTCTCGCATGTCTCTCGTGTCACATGTCTNCCCTTGCAACATTCAAGAGACGACTGGACAAGTGGTTGAGAAAGATCCCGGACTGTCCAGTAATGGGAAACTACCCTCAGCAAGTGACAAGCAACAGCATCTTGCATCAGCTGGCCCAAATGAGGGCAAATAGACGGAACACGTCCAACGTTACATCCGACGACGACTCGGAGACGGAGGACGACGAAGGCGGCGCATCAGCGTGACCTTGGACTACGACGTCCTAAACTCATCATAAGGTCATAAGGTGGTGCAGTGTGGTGTAATGTGGTGTTGTGTTGTGGTGCAGTGTTGTATTGTGGTGCATCGTGGTCTGTGGAGCAGTGTGGTGTTGTGGTAGAGTGGGACGTGATGCAGTGTGGTGTGAAGAAATTTTCACACTACAAATTAACAGTAAGCCAAATGAAGCTGTTGGCATCTACACTGTCAGGTCTTTAGCGGCCACCCTCCTTTACCACCTACACTTCCCTCGCCATTAGCCCCAACCTCGCTCCCCTCTTGCTTGTTTAGTGATGGCTCATACGACAATTGTAATTGAAAATCAGCCAAAGGCTATAAGCCAAGAGGGACTAACATCTTACCAGACTGCCTCAGGTATTCCTTGCCGCCCATCTTCCCCTCACCCCTGACACACCTCCCCCCCGCAGGCCGCGTGTGCGAGCAGTGCACGCGCCCAGATTGCCGCACGTGTTCCTTCTGCATCGACATGACCAAATATGGCGGCTCTGGCATCCTCAAGCAGCGCTGCAAGCTCAAGAAGTGTCCCAAGGTGAGGAGTGTCTCTGGTTGAGGTGTGCACCTGGTTGATGAGTGTTTCGAGTTGAAAGACTGTCCCTGATTGAAGAGTGTCGCAGCCGACATTAGCTGGTGCTGGTGAAACACGATGCAAATGCACACTAATAAGAGATACTATCTCGTCGTCAACGAAACTTGCATTAAGAAACAACTTCTGCCCAATTATACGAATTCACGTACACATGTATATTATATTGTCAAGTTGGTTATAGCTCTTGAGCATCAAATGCTTGTTTCCTTGCATGTTCACAAATAAGTAATCATATAGGTAATTGATGAGACTGTAATGTAGCTTTGATTGAATTGATCGACCGTCCTACCGTACCCTAACTTTGTTCACCCCCAGCCGCTGCTCCCTGCCCCCGCGGTGTGCTACGTGTGCGCCCTGGACGGCTTCCTGCAGTCGGCGGCTGACAAGAAGACGCGCCACGACCATCCCAGCACACTCATGGAGTGCTCAGTGTGCTACAAGGTCTCCCACCCCGAGTGTGTCGTAGTCCAGGTGGGTGGCGAGGCGGTATGATAAATGTTACATAAATGTCTCGCTCGATATGATTGACCCTAACCGCCCTAGGTGCAAGCCGCGCGCTGCAATCTCGAGTTAAATTTCAGGCCTTCATTTGATAGAGGATTTCTTAGCTGTCCTCCGTCTCACGCAATCCCTTTTTCATAGCATTGGCACCGCTTTTCTTTGTCATGCTTCTTCGTGGGCCTATTGTAAGAATGCCCCAGCGTTGGAGGCCACAGCACTCTAACTTTCATCCCACATCTCCCTAACCCCCTAATGTTCTCCTCACCTGCAGGGAGTGGAGGGCAAGATCATCCCCGACTACCCCAACTGCTGGGAGTGTCCTGAGTGCCTTGAGGCTGGCTACGACAGAGAATACAAGGTGAGGATAGGCACGGATAATTGAAGGTTGGTGACGTGGAGACCACACAAGTACAGCAATATCTATGTCTACACGCTATGTACCACACAAGTATAGCTATTCGTATACCAAATAAGCACGGTATGTACCAGTTACCACACAAGTGTAGCTATACTTACACCAAACGAACTACGTATCACCCAAGCGATATGCATCACCAGCACCTGCAGGGTGCCGATTATTGACGATGTTGCGTCCACAGAACGCGCGGGGGGCGCGGCTCTCGGCGGTGGGCAGCAGCGACAGCGGTGGAGCAACTGCGGCCACACCCGTGAAGGTGAGAACTACAGTGTGGACATTGACGCCACAAATGACGGACATTGACGCTACAAATGACGGACATTGATTCCACAAATGACTTACATTGACGCCACAAATGACTGACAGTGACGCCACAAATGACGGAAATTGACGCCACAAATGACTGACAGTGACGCCACAAATTCTCGGTGCCTGACGGGCAATGGTCCCCTCGCCTGGCGCTGTCGGCTGACCTCACTTTCTTGTCCTTCTTTCTAATGCTCGCCCCCCATCTTCCTTCCCTCTCCTCGTCGGTTCTCATCATCGGCGGCTCTGCGGTTCTCATCGGCGGCTCTGCGGTCCTCATCCTTGGCGGCTCTGCGGTTCTCTTCCTTCTCGACTTTTGGGTTCTCATCCTCCTCGGCTCGGCGGCTCTCATCCCCGGCGGATGTTGCAGGAGGAACCTGACGAGCAAGAAGTAAACCATCAGACGCCCGATGCCACATGCGATGAAGCACCTACGGGTGGAGTACAACACGAACAGCCTACGGACAGGAGGCACGAAGCCCCCACCCAGCACTGCGATCCCAAACCCGTGAGTTCCTCAGACTCGGACAGCTCTCCGTGATTCCCCATGTCGTGGCCCTCAGTACAACATTGCCCATTTTAGGGCCATGGAGGAGAAGGAGAGCTGAGGGATAAAAGGAGAAGGCGTCAGAAGCCCCACCATTTCTCCAAAAGGGACTGTAGTCTCTTAGAATCAAGTCAGAAACTAATCGTTATTTCTTCATCGTTTGTTTTGTTTGCCATCCAGCTCAACTGTTATTATGCTATTCCTACCTGGCCGTTAGTGGACGTACCATTCCTACACGGACAGCATATGGTCGGCCAGACCCAGAGTTTTAGCAAGCAGTTACAGTTCAACGCGTTACCGATTCTTTATATTCCAATGAATTTTCATGAACAATTTGTCGCATAAACAGGCCTCATCATAATGCATCTTTTTAGTTCACTTATGCAAGTTGTGCAATTTACTTTGTCGTATCGGACGAGACTTTAGCTTTTCCAGTTTCTATTCAGAGTTGATCCTAAACTTTAGTTGCTGGTACGTTCTGTGTGGACCATAAATTTTTGAGTTGCTTAAGTGTTTAGTTCATACCCACCTATCCCTAAACCTTCAATGCTTGAATGGATCACGAACGTGTAACGTGTCAGTCCTTCCTATAACTACGATGTACTAGACATCACAATCTAGAGCAGCGCTGCAACTAATTTCTTGTCTATATTGATATGTAACACTATAATATCTGCAAAATAAGCTTACCCTAATGCCCGTCAGTTAGAGCAGTTTTGACAGCGCTGTTCTAGAGCGACGATGCTGGATATTTATAATCTTGTCTTAGTAAAGCAGTCATGGCGTACAGTTTTCATAGTCGAGCTACCTCACGAGCCAAAGAAATCATTGATTGATCGAGATCCTTGTATTAGAGTCATTGGTTAGAGACTGCGCGTGAGTTTCGTATAGAGCGAACCATAGTACAACGCTACCGCCGCCGTTTGCCCTGTCTTTCAGAATTTTCCCAGAGTTAGGATATGCCATTTGTTTTGTTAGCTTGAAGACAAAGACTAGAGGCGTCCAATTCTTCGTTGCCGTGTCTTATTATTACGCTATATTTTTTCTTGTTTTACTATTGGCTGAATTTTCAGGAAAAATGTATGAAGCCACAAGAGAAAAATGTGTATATATGTATAATACTTAATGTACAGTAAAAGGCGGTAGGGAGCTTGAATTAGTGCATAATCTCTGTATATTCTGTGTGAAGGGAATGTGCCATGAGGGTAGTGGGTGTGAGGGTGAGGTTAGAGGAAGAGGGTAAATAGCGCTCATGATGGTGAAGAAGGGCACTTTGTATGGCTGAGAAGGGCGCTCTTTATGGCTGAGAAGGGCGCTCTTTATGACTGAGAATGGCATTCTTCATAACTGAGAATTTCACTCTTTTATGGTTGAGAATTGCACTCTTTATTGCTAAGATTGGCACTCTTTGACTGAGAATAGCACTATTTGACTGGGAATGGCACTCTTTATGGCTGAGAATGGTCTATTTATGGTTGAGAATGGCACTCTTTGACTGAGAATGGCACTCTTTATGGCTGAGAATGTCCTCTTTATGGCTAAGATTGGCACTCTATGGCTAAGAATGGCACTCTTTATGGCTGAGTGTAGTGTCCTTTAAAATAGCGGCTTATGTGTATATCAACGTTACCCTTGTGTCTCGACGCACGGTGGCCTTGACATCTGCTGGAGGAACATTTACAACGTCATTGCTGCCTAAACAATTAAACTAAAACCTTATTCCTACCTGATCCAATAAACTACAACCTTATTCCTACCTGATCGAATAAACTACAACCTTATTCCTACCTGATCCAATAAACTACAACCTTATTCCTACCTGATCCAATAAACTACAACCTCATTCCTATCTGATTTAATAAGCTACCACATTATTTCGACGCTGCATTATTTCTATCTGCCCGTATTAGGTTCAACGTTATTTCCTTCGACGAAGTGTCGCCAGTGCCACCTTATAAGTATACCCTAAACTGTTGCCAGTGTCGCCTGCTCTGCCTCCATTGGTTGACTTGACTGCTTTCACGGGTCGCCTGCCTTGATTGCCTGCCGTTGTTGCTTGTCTTGGTTGCCTGCCATGGTTGCTTGTCCTGTTGCCTGCCAAGGTTGCTTGTCCTGGTTGCCTGCCAAGGTTGCTTGTCCTGGTTGCCTGCCATGGTTGCTTATCCTGGTTTCCTGCCATGGTTGCTTGTCTTGGTTGCACCATCTAGTCGCATCCACCTGCCTCCAGGTCCAACTCCTGCCGCTTGTGTAGGAGTTGCTGCATGCTCATGTCTGGGCAAAGGTAATGGCGGTGGGTCAGGTTTTAACGTGAAGGTGGATCAGGCGGCGGTCCGGTTATCAATACATGACGAGCATGCACTGAGCATGAGCATGCACTGGGTCCACGACTGAGCTGTGCTAGCGACTATGTACTTTCAATCAGTATCCGGTACATTCTCTGTTGATCGGGACAGTTAATGCTCAGTTGATCAGTTCAGGTCAGGCTATGTTGATCGGGACAGTACAGCTTCAGTTGATCAGTACAGTGCATGCTCAGTTGATCAGTCGAGTACAGCCTCTGTTGATTAGTACAGTACAACTTCTTGCAATGTTCTCTTGTATGGGCCACAGCCTGCGTGTTATGAGGGCTGATGTGCCAAGCTTCAAATACATCTCACAATCTCAATAACTTTTGGTTTGATTTCTCCTTTGAGGTGAAGAGAGGTTGGCCTCAGAATGATGGCGATGCGGTGGTTTCTGCGGCATTGACGTTTGGAGGTTAGGACGGCTTCTGCTACGTTGACGTTGCGGGGTTAGGGGGACTTGTGCGACGTTGTTGCACATGGTGCCAATGACGATGAACGCGAAGGAGGGTTGTAGTCTTCGGAATGGAGAGGGCAACCTAAAGAGAAGTAGAAAAGCAAAAGAAATCGAAGGAAATTAAGAAAGTCGTCGCCTCTTCTGCTTTGCCTTATAAGGAGTACACACGGAAGATTATGAGCAAGCTTGGCAAACAGATGCTTGAAAATCGCCCCACTTCTAACGGTGTGAATGCCGCGGGAGCTGCAATGGCCCGGGCGCAACTATGCGTTGGGGCATATGAGCGTGGCTTACACTGAGGTGATCAGCTGTTGGGAGGAAAACGAGGAAACTATAGATTTCGGTGGTCTTGGCGGCGCGGGAGGAAATCTTCCGGCCTCCCCTCAAGTAATGACAGGCGGAATACCAGCAACGTGGAAGGACAACGAAGTGGCTATACCGAGCGGGCCATGGGTGCCGCAGAACGCATTTTTGTGTTGACGTTACGGGGGGAGGACGGCTTCTGTCTGCTGACATTGCGGGGTGAGGACGGCTTCTGTCTGCTGACGTTGCGGGGTGAGGACGGCTTCTGTCTGCTGACGTTGCGGGGTGAGGACGGCTTCTGTCGGCTGACGTTGCGGGGTGAGGACGGCTTCTGTCTGCTGACGTTGAGGGGTGAGTCCGACTTCTGTCTGCTTACGTTGCTGGGTGAGGACGGCTTCTGCCTGCTGTTATTGCGGGGTGAGGAAGGCTTCTGTCTGCTGACGCTGCGGGATGAGGACGGCTTCTGTCTGCTGACGTGGAGGGGTGAGTCCGACTTCTGTCTGCTTACGTTGCTGGTTGAGGACGGCTTCTGTCTGCTGTTATTGCGGGGTGAGGACGGCTTCTGTCTGCTTACGTTGCGGGGTGAGGACGGCTTCTGTCTTCTGACGTTATGGAGTGGAGACAGCTTTTGTTTGCTGTAGTTGCAATTGTTGTTTCTGCTGGTGGTTCAGGTGTTGTTTGTTTTGGTGGTGCAGGTGTGGCTTGTATTGGAGGTGCAGGTGATGCCGATGTTGTTTATGGCTGGAGACCCAGGTGATGCAGTTATTTTCGTGCTTGATGGTGCAGGTGATGCAAATGTCACGAACAATGTCATTTGTGTCGTTTTATTACGTAGTGTTTTAGAGTTTTACGGTTAAACAGGCATGCTGTGTGCTGACGTTATGTGCGGGTAGACAGTCGCTCTGTTTGAGGTCAGGTTAGACAGTCGTCCTGTGTGCTGGCAGTGGCAGGATGCGTTATTGGCCAACCACTGATTTACTAGTAGTTCCTCTCCTTCTACTTCTCCTCCTCCCTGTGCGCGCGGGAGGAACATAAGTGTAGTTGTGAACTCAACGTGTGTGTGCAGGTGGCTGCTCCCCCCATGCCCACTTGGGGGGAATTACAGGCGAGGGTGAGAAAGCCATTGGTTGCTCCCCAGTGGGTGGTTCGACCTGCCCCCATCGAGTTGAGCCGCGCCGACGCTGGCCTTCTTGACCTTCACAATGGTCAAAGCAAGCCCGCAATAATGTGTGGTCTAGTCCTCCTTAGTGTCTTCAAGCTGCTTTCCGTCAACGACCTCCTTGTGGTGATGCGCGTGTGTCGGGAGTGGGCGCGATGGTCCGTCCACCCGTCACTGTGGCCACACCTTACCCTGCCACCCAACCGCCCGGTTAGACCCGATCAGATGGAGGGAATCGTACGTCGGCAGCCCAATAAGCTGACACTCAGTTGGACCCAACTGACGCAGGCTCAGCTCAAGTGGCTTCTCATGAGGCTGCCTCAACTGAGTGAGCTGGAGCTGGAGGGACTCACGTGGGGAGAGGTTCGGGAGATCGCCACCTGCTACTGCCCTCCTCTGTCCAAACTCAACCTGAACTTCGTTCAGGGCTTCAATGACGATACGCTGGCCCTCATGCTAGCCCCACCTGTTTCTAAGAGGCCAGGTTTCAGAAACCAGCAGTGCTCTCGCCTCAGCAATTTGACACATCTTTCCCTGTCCAACTCCTTGGTGACCAACACTGGCATCACGGCCATCTGCTCTGAACTGCGGCTCGTGCATCTCGACGTAAGCAATTGTATTATGGTCACTGAAGACACCATCAAGATCATCGTCGATGGCGTGGGCAACACTTTGGAATCTCTGGATGTACGCTCGTGTCAAAACTTGAAGGTTTTTTGCTTGCCTGAGTTGGCCAAGCTTAAATTGCTTTCCTGGTTAGGTATGGACAACTGCCCAAACGTTCCTATAGGAGCTTTGCAGGCGTGGTCTCAAACGCACGGCTATACGGAAGTAAAGAAAGGTGTTTACACACGCATTCCGCCCACAGTGAAAAAAGTCAGCCGTGCAATACAATCTCGCCTTGTAAAATCGGCGTTCCAAGAAATACTGAAAACTCATATCCAGAAACTGAGTAACAAGTCACGCATGATTCCCTCTAGCGAGAAGAAAGCTGATTCTGGTTCAGCTCGTCCTAAAGAACACAGTAAAGATAATGGGACTAAACATTGCGACTCCTCCGTTGGGGAAGGGAAAGACATGGCGTCGGAAATCGATGACGAGCTTAATTCCAAACTGTCAACTGAGGTAACAAAAAAAGCGGACGATGCGCGGGTAGATTATGCAGATGAAACAGGGAAAGCTTCGGCGGTTGAGGCACAGGAAAATCAGGCGGTTGAGTGCGGAAAAAATAATTCAACCCTCGAGAGTAAACCTACCGTGGGCGAACGAAGCACGTGTGGTCAAAGTAAGGAACTGATATCCAAAGAAGCGACTGCAACAAAAGATGAGGATTGTGCTGATTCGGTACCTGTGAACGATAAACAGGAGCCGAAAGGCGACAAGTCCTTTAGGTGCAGAAAACGGCCTTCTCGCTTCGCTGACTCCGAAGTTGATACTTCGCCATCCTTCAAAAATTCGAGAAAGAATTTGAAACTTGTCACTGTTGAGCTCGAGGATATTGGTTCTGCCACGAAACTCGGATGCAAAATGCAGAACGTTGCCAAAGATTCTTCCAAAAAAGATGAGTTTCCTTCCAAGCCTTCGCTTATCAGCCCCAAATCTAAGTGGCTCGCGCAAGCCGATCCCAGTAGCAAGAAAGTAGACAAGAATTTTTCGTCTGACGAAGCCGAGTCGTTGCCAGCAGCTTCGCCAGACTTGCCGCGTAGACATCATCGCCGACTGCGGGAAGTGCAAGAAGGCCGCCGGGAGAGCGATGTGCAAGAAGGCCACCGGGAGCGCACATCGCCCAAGGATTCATCGCCAAGCTCCGTTAAAGGGGAAGACACTTCCAAGACTGAAATTTCTGGCAAAAGGCTGTCTGTCTCAGATGAAACGCCTGAGAAGAAAACGGCTCAGTGCAGTCCCAAAAAGAAGCACAAGAAAGAGAAGGATATCATTACCAGATCAAAAAGACTGAAACAGGAGCCAGCGTTGGAATCAAACTTGGAAGAAAAATATTCTGCCGTCACTGAAGCCTCGAATTTAGGAAAAGATTATGCCAGCAAGTCGCACATCGAAAGTCGGTCACATAGTGACAAATTCGAACTCAAACACAAGGCGTCGAAGCGCGAGCGATCATCGTCGTTTGAATCAACTGGGTACAAGCACGAGACAAGCGATAAACCCGTTACGAATCTTGACTCGAAATACTCGGCAAAATTAAGGAAAAAGTCCCACGAAGGTTCTCCGTTAGTGGACAATGCCAACAGTGATACTGGCAACAAACCACTGAAAGAACAGACGAAGCAGAGACGGCGACCATCCAAGGATGAAGATAAGGCAGAGGTCCCTCGTCTCAGCCTCGATCACGAAGAGCCTTGCAAACCGTCATCGGCATCGCCGTCAGCCAGGAGCAGCAGGAGGAGAAGTGACGAAGCATCAAAAGAAAAGAAAAACGTAGACTTGAAAGTCACGAAAGAGAAGAAAATTTCATCCGCAGTTGCTGAGGAAAGTGACAAATTAGCCTCCACTGTCGCCACTCCAGAAGTAGATCACACCAAAGGCTCTCACACGGAGGCGAGCTCAGTGAGCGCAAAAAATGTTAGATATGAAAAATTAAAAAGCCCTAAACCTGCGTCTCCGAGCAAGTCCTTCACTCGCGACAAAGTCCCCGTAATTTCGAAGAAGAAAGGTGAAGAAAAACCTGGAAGTAGTGAGAAAAAGCGTGAAATTTTGTCTGGGATGAGCACAAGTTCTGGATCTAAAGCCGTCCGCAAGAATATTATCTTCGAGAAAACTATGAACAAGTTCGGCGCTGATCCGTTGATGCGAAATCCCAGCTCCCCCGACGCCGCTGTGTCAGATGCGCCTTCTGCGATGTCAGCTTGCGCTTCCTTACAACATGAGGAATCACGGGAGTCCTCCAAAGTACCTTCGTCAGCCTTGATGGGGAAAATTCCTGAAATATCAACGGAGCCAAAGAAACTTGCAGTCAAGAGGAAAAAGTTTCCGGGAAGTAGGGTAGTCGATGACAACAGAAGTCCGAAAGAGAAACCTGCAACGAAACCTTCAAAATCTGTCCATTTGTCAAGTGACAGAAGCCTGGAGTCACCACCAATCGACAAGAAGGCTTTGTCTGGACGTAAGGACTATACCAAGCACTTCGCTGTGCGACTCTCTTCCACCATACAGAAGAAATCAACTGCATCAGAGTTTTCATATAAAAAAGGCAAGTCGCCGAAGCAGGGAACTACTCCAGCGCTTGATCTGGATGTCGAAGCCAAACCGAAGTTGGAAATGCCTGGACAAAATAGGCCTCAAGTGTCGGGTGAGCGGAGCGGTAACGACAAAATATTCAGTTGCGTAAAGAAAGTTGAGTCCATGACAAACATTCTTGATCACGGAGCGCAGAGCGATGTGCAAGATATTGTTGGAGCCTCCCAAAACTCTGAAGCTGTTTCACCTGTAAGGTCTGGCACAGGCTCTCGTGCTGCGGGCAAACTGGAAGAGAAGAGGGAAGGGAGGGGTAAAAATGAGGAGCTGGAAGACACCAACCCCGCTGGCGGGAGTGCAAGGCCTGACCACAACCCCACCACAGCCTCACATGACGAGCCTAGAACAAGCAACGACTCCTTTCTTGGGGGCCGAGATTCTTGTTCGAAGTATCCCACTTAAACCACTAAATCCGTGCAGATTATGTGTACATTTTTTTCGTGGCTGCAGCTGAAGCTGCTAATAATTATCTACCGATAATTATTCAAACAATTATTATATTTATTGATTTTAACCAAAATTTATCAACGACCTGATTCGTTCATTGGCATGAAAAAGGTAATCGTAAGTAAATTGTAATTCAATAGAGCCGTTAAAGGTCTGCCTGCGAAGTTGAGAAGACTACAAGAGTTGAGCTAGTCAAAAAATATTAGAGGCTAATAGTTTTGGCGCAATTTAATGCAGGAAATTAAGGATCGGCCAATTAATTCTCAGCTTAAATAAGATTACCAAATTAAGGGGTTCTTCCTTACATCCTTCCCAGGATTGTGAGAGTAAGTTAATATGTGCATGATTAATTAATACGAGTAGCTGTGTAGGTCTCCTGCGTTTAAGTCAATGCTCTCCGTTTTCTAAATATACTGACTTGTGAGAACTGGATTAGAAAACGAAGATTTTTGATGTAACCAATGTAAGAAAGTAAATACTAATTGTCCTTATTTATTTATAAATTTGGAGAACCTATTTTGCATTGAAATTGCCGATGATTAATATGCTATTGATGAGAATAGTTCACAATCGTTTGTCAAATAATGAGTATAATTGAAACTTTTTACACTTCTTCATCCTCTTACTAATGATCATTGTAGCAGCGAAGTGCAATAAAGCGGTGCTATAAATGAGCGTTGAACTCATTGCCATCACATCCTCTTGTTGCTACACGTCATGATACGCGTGCAGCTGAGTGGATACGTAAGGATACGCGTGCAGCTGGCGCTGACAGAGTGGCGTAGTTTCTACAGAGATCAAAGGGGGCAAATAAAAAATTCGATTATAATTAAATGCTTCTTATATTGCGTAAAATTTATCAACAAACTGCTAGTTGAACGTAAAATAAAAATATATTTGCGGCTTTGAAACATTAACCATTTAGTTAACTGAATGCTACAATGATCTCGAAAACAATGTAAATGTTATTAGAATGTCCGCTTAGCTTCATTTGTTAGATCAATGTGGCTTATACGAAATAAAGAAGTCATTGAAGGATTACCTGGATTGTATAAATTAATAAATAATGTAGGGATATCATTAAGAATCGAGATCAAGAAATCTACGATTCAGTACAGTCGATTACTATTAATGTGATAAATTTTGATCGTAAATAGTAGCAGAAAACACACAATTAAGATGAACACAACATATTGAATACAAGTGAATGTTATCCGCACGTTGAAAAATGTCGTTACCTTACCTTTCAACCAAAAATCGAACCTAACTAAAAATTGTGAAAGATTACAATTACATTCAAGTAGCTCGTTAATCTAACTTTCTATCATATGAATACCTAATTCAAGTCATATGAACTCAGCTTTACTGGGCAGTTTTCCTGCAATTAATTAAAAAAATTATGTCTAAGTAATGCCTTTATTAGAGTTGTATCATGCGCAGCAAAATATAGAGCTGCCCAGCGTCAAAAGATGGGGCGGACCAATTTATTGAAGGCTGAAAGAGGAATCTTGAAGGACAAGTGAAGAAATATGAGCAATAACAGCTCGATTCAATTCGCAGCATAAAATTTGAATGAATGAACTTACGATGGTCGGATCAACAAGTCAGTAATTACATTGTTCAATAAATGAAATAACCATAGTATAGTATATTAGATGCTGTGAATGCATGAGAATTACCAAGTATTTATACATGCAGATTGAAAATACAACTCGACTCGCAGAAGAATCACACAGCTACGAAAGTTTTCATAATATTGATAGAAATTCGGTCATAATAGGCAAGCAAATTCTTATAAAAGCTACCGAATTAGGCAAAGACCACTTATGAAGTGACCGCGATTAATTTTCTAGCGAATCTTGTCATTTTCGCACTTAGTCTCTTCATAGCAGGAATGAGCTTCTAGTCCACCGTATTCAGGCTGTATGGCCCCTGCACATCAACTCTTGCCACGAGACTGTCAGCAGCTCAGGCGATTACAAAAAGTGTCTATTCAGAATTTCTACCGCAGCGTATCAATAGTAATTACTCACATTCTGAAATTCAAGCTAATTCATTCAGTATTGAAGGACTTATGAGTGGTTCAGTTGAGCGAGTTCGCAGGCGGGTCCGGAGAAGTGTTGATTCAGTGCCCAAGTCGCACGCACTGAGCGCCAGCAGGCGCCCCCCAGCGCCGGGAGACGCAGCAAGCGGCTGGACTGAAGTGATGGAATTCTGTTAAGTAATAGAACCTGCGACTGCAAATACTTCCAGGTGCAAAAGTTTAAAACCTGAATTAGGTGCTTTTTCGTTGGATACAATTCTACCATCAGCGAAGGTTATTGTTTGATAGATGCCAAGTTAACAAACCTGAGTGTCCCTTATTATTGTCTGTGAGCCATTTATCGAATTTACAGCAGTGAGACATATACCATTCGATTCCCAAAGAGAAGATCTACAAATTATTGCAGGAGTTTTTCTAATTTCGATATAGTTTGAATTTTATTTTGCAAAAAGGGGTAACATCGAAAAATTTACGAAAAATGCTCCCACACCCACAAAAATCGGAATTTCAAAAAACGCCTGCATCAATTTGTAGATATGGTCTTTACGTATCGAATGATATGTGTCTCGATGTTGTAGCTTGAAAATCCTAGGCCCGCGGAGATTTCTACAGTACCAGTACCCCCTTTTTTGGCCGTTTTCTAAGAATTTCATGTTTTCTTTCATTTTTTTCGAAAAATTTACATGAACAAAAAAGTCTTAAAATTCCGTTTTACATACGTCTGTCAAATTTCGAAGTGATCCGTCCGTAAATAAAAAAGTTTTTTTTACCAAGACGCTCCTCTTAAATCATTTCAAACATATATTCACACAAAAACTGCTGTAAAATTAGAACTGTTTTTCTGCAATTGTGACTTCTTTATAGTACTTGGATATGGAATCTGCATTCTAGAACTTTGTCTTACGTGGTTTTCAATTATCTCTACTGAATAGTTCAACATGCTGAATACAAAAAAAAAAAAAACAATACTTTTAGCGTTATTTGGTCTACACGGATTACTTGGTCTACACGGATTATTTGGTCTACACGAACACAGGTCATATCGCACAAGATTATCGCAATCAGTTCTATATATCTCTGCTATGTGAGGACAAATTTATCGCAAGGATGATTCATCTAACGAAGCGTTAAGAGATGATTTACTGGCGTGATAACTTGAGCCAGGGTTTAAGGGCTTAAATTCTGAGCGGCCAAATAACAATGACACTTGAACAACACTCAAGATAACCGTTGCGCACATCTCTTGTGAGCCTCGCAGTTTGTTTCATTTCTAAAATGAGTTAACCAGTATATCTGGTAGGGATGAATTCAATTTTTGGGGCAGGAATTCGTGTCTAAATTGCGTTTTGTAAAAAATTTAGACCTGGATGTCTTACACATTCAAAAAGCTTTAGTTCATAAACAAAATCGCAGCTCATTTTATTCCGAAGTATAATAGCTTCCTAATAATTTCAGGTTTCACTTGCTGATAGTAATTCTTAAGTATCAAATTGCCTTGGATATATCATGTGTTCTCGGTATAATTGTAGCGGTTCCAAGTTGAATATTTGCAATTAGTCCATGAAATATAAAAATGCACATTATTTATAGCTAACATGAAACAAATGCGTACTCACTCCAACTTGAGGTGTAGTACGTTCAGAATAGGTCAATCCTTTTGTAAATATTTTGTTACGAAATTTCTGCCACGCAAACCTAAGTAATCCATACATAACTTATCATATAAATTGAAATTGGCTTTAGAGTATTTACGCAGCTCGGCTATACTTCGAGACCAGTTCATCTTGAAAAAATTTGAAGCCTCTTGTTAACGACGCAAATAATATACATTTGATGAGATAAGCTGATTATGCTGAAATAAGAAGCTTGTGCAAAAATAGATTAAAAAACAACAGTCAATTTGTCTTAAAGACTGACCGTATAGGCAACAGTTCCTGCAACAACCTTTCCACCATAAATTTTAGGGGTGCTGATCTGTTCAAATTCCTAGCAACGTCTGACATTAGTAAACCGAACTCGAAAATGTAGAGAATATTTGAGTATATACGGAGGTACATTCTATAACAGTTGTTATGGAATAATATGCTCTCGATGATGTATCAGTGTCAAGACCATTATATAAGGAAATGCTACAAATTGTATGAATATAATATCAATATGACCCATTCAAGATCTTCCCCCATACACTGGCTGACAAGGCTGAAGTGAATATAGGAATTTAAACTAACGAAGAAAAAGATAACCATTTCGAAGTAGTTCGGATGGATTATTAGTTTAGTGTTTTAGAAAAATAAAATTAAATGAAATTAGTTGTTTCTTGCTAATTACAACTAAGGTACATATTGACTAGTCACAAAAGACATTCCAAATGTGTTAAGCGGCGTCTCGATAGGACGGACATACAGTACAAGTGTAAGGAACCGAAATTGGCAGGACTGAGATCCTTGATCGAGGACCTTGTGGATCCCTAAAGTGAGAATCAGCAGTACTCTAGGCGCGGGTGACAGCTGCAGTCATGGGCCAGCGAAGGGCCAAAAAACTTCGAGTCATTTATTAAACTTGGACTTCTGCTAAACAGCATCAGCAGGTAACGGTCACAATTTTGCGATACTTACGTACGGCCAACATCAACACTCCGCCCACACCGGCAATGAGATAACACGAGAAGCAACTGGACATATGACGATTATGAAGGCGACAGTAACATCATTCAGGTAACATGAAAAAAAATTATTTAATTATCGTTCAAAATAAAGTCACCCACGACCGGCATTGCGGCAGAGGGAGTTCGTGGTCGATGCGGTCAGAGCACTGCATGGGTGCACAAACGGCCAACGAACGGGTTTGGTCTATGAACCTATAACGTCTTCCAATAAAATAAAAGTGTAGTTCGTTTTTTTTAATGTGTTCATACTCTAGCCATATAATATCCCCCAAATTAAAACTATACATTGAAATATATGAAATTTTTAATCATTTTTCTTCAGCTACCACTGGTTACTCCTTGCTGAACCTATCTTTTACTTTAAGATGTTTACTACCTGACCACAACGTATCCTGTAGATGCTTAATTACTATCAGACCTTTAGCTTGGTTATTACTTTGAATTCACCGGGATGCTGAGACGCGCGCTCGCCTGCGAGACGCTGATCAAGCTTTAATGGAGTTATCATCTCTGGGGTTTGGGGGAATTAAGGTAGAGCCACCCCGGTTTCCTCTTCATGAGAAGAGACAAGAGTTTAACTAAACGTGACTTGTAATCCTAATTCAAATTGTCTCCAAACTGTTATTATGTCTTTAATATTATGGAACTAGTGAGGAAAGAGTATATGCTATATTCTATAATATTCAGCATCAAGTACAAATAGTACAAATAGAATATGAAGCGTTTAATGATGATGACATCCAATCAGACGTATCCGACTAAGGTGATTCTGTATGGCTAGCATCCTCCACGCGGTCCGATCTTGTGCATGGTATCTCAGCTGATCTATAACTGCAGTCTCAGCTGATCTAGCTACAGTCTCAGCTGATCTAGCTACAGTCTCAGCTGATCTAACTGCAGTCTCAGCTGATCTAGCTGCAGTCTCAGCTGATCTAGCTGCAGTGTGCAGTTTGGCACACTACAAAGGTGCCACCCGTATCAAATATTTCAGTCAAACCGAGAGAAAAGGTCATATGCAAACTAGATAAAAATGTTATTTATGCAAAATCACGAAGGACAATATAAAAGAAATTTTAGCTCATTGGCAATCAACTGGAAGCCATGCCGTCATGCCTATACAGGCGATATTTACCGGGCTTACTTAGTGCCTAAGTTTTCTAGAGTTAAATCTCTTTTGCCTGGGGAAGTAAGAGAATTCAAAATGTTATTTTTAAGGACGAGTCTCTCGTCTTCGAGCTGGCTAGTACAGGGATGAGGTTTTACCGAAATATAAACGTAAAGCATTTTATAATGAATTATTTGTAAAAAATTTTTACATGGAAACATTTGTCGGCCTTTGGTCGCAGCAGCTCAGACATTTGTCCACAGTTGTAGTGCAGGGGGGCCACTAGCATGTACTGGCCACAATAGAAAGTCTAGTGTACATTGCGCGGGCTGGAAAATCTGAATATCTAGCTCTGCAGAAGGCACGGCTGAATGTGCCAGTTATCAAGTCGTAGTCATGAATAAAATACGTTGATACCAAAAGGGTGTTGTGAGAAAAAGCAGGAATAAACATTTATTGCAAGAGAGTATAATTACTTTCAATAATCACATGTACTAATCATGTACAGCAATATACAGTAATTGTTTTAAATATTTTGAATTTTTATAATACAGATATTGCATTAAATGCTCAATTTAACGTACAGCGGTCACTTTGACGTTGCCTGGGTGGCTCATTCGTTAATCACTAAATAATATAATGACACAAAGGTGCAAAGGCGGTTTTCTTTCACGAACAAACTCGTAAGTAAATATCCCACTCCTGATGATGAACCGGAACCATTGCGGATGATGCATGGGGGTTCAACGGAACTAGCACTGCGGCCAAGTATGTCCAACAATCCCTGTAGTAATACCAAAAGTGTATTCTCAATTGAGGTCTTTACAGGAGTCTTCATTTAGCTTTCGTGGCACAGCAAATTCTCAAGGTTTATCGTTTCACCGGCATATCGTTATGATCCATCCACAAGCCTTTAATGACGAAACAAAGATTCAGGAGAACGTGACACGGGAATTGGTGGGAATTCACGTGAATGTAAGTTACCTCCTTCGTCTCTATTCCGGCGCCGTCGTCGCGCTCGATGCTCTCTGCTTTTTCATAACTATAATGTCGTCATATAGGTGCAGAACACCATAAAAACTCCTAATTTCACATTCTTCAAAATATGAACCTCATAATTCTGAATAAAAAAAATTGGCTATGAATAAATAACCGAAATATTTAAATATGACAAAATTACTAATAATTTTCACTTTAAAAATTTTCGATGTATAAATACTCTTTATGATTGGAGTCTATACAACGTAATACCATTACACAGTCCTTGCAGTAGGTACCATGATCATGAACCCAGAATCAACATCGAAATAGAAGAAAAAACATAGAAATCTTTCCCACGGGCTGCTAAAATCAATCAAAAGGGCGTGCACGTTGGACCAACTTTGTGCTGTTTGATTAGCTTTTATTTTTCATTGATTATGTTTAAATCGATGAGGTTTATTACAAATCAAGACCCTTGAACACTGAAAACATCGTTTTCTCACTTAGTCATTATAAGATATTTATTGAAAACATTGGTCTTTCCCTGCTTGATAATTAATATCGATTGGGGCCTCCAGCATGACTTTTAGACTCGACAAAAATCCCATAAATCTTGTATTCGCCTTGCCATTTTTTGTATAACATTAATCATATTAGGTTATAAATATAGTGTGTATTACCTTCTAAATTCTAAAATGTCATATTATAGACCGAAAATCAATACCATATTAATTATTTATTTCAATCATGATTTCGATTAAATGTATAAGAAATGTATACATGAATCAATTCCAAAATACTTTTTGATTACAATCTTCTACAAAAAAAAAACAAAGTTATGTCAGAGCTTTTAGGAGTTGAAGTTTAGCTCCTAAACTACAGATAAATTTCTCAATTGGCCTAACATTCTGGCCACTTGTACACGCTTATTAGCCGATGAAACTAGCGGCGTCAACCTATGACCGTAAAAACGCGTGAATCATGATCAACTGGCCTTGCATTCACGCCTAAGCAACGTCGATAAACATTGCAAATCTGAGGACAACCACCTTTTAAAATATGTAGAAATACGAGTATAAATCGCTAATAATTTCCTGGTACATTTTCAGCTGAGCATGTCTCCTGTCAAAATGTGTTTTGCCGATGAATGATATAGGAGAAGTTGGATACATTCTTCAACTCTTTCATCTTTTTCCCTACTCCGTCAGTTGGAGTTCATTTTCAGACGTTTGCTTTTGTTGCCGTTCGGATGTCAATACAGAGTACTTGATTTCCTTAATGTCTTCCTCCAATTTCGTCACTTGAACTATCTTCGCCTCCATTTTCGTCAGTTGAACTATCTTCGCCTCCATTTTCGTCAGTTGATGAGCTATCTTCGTCAGCTGGAGACCCTGTGCTGAAGCTTCCCTTTCCTGCTCAAGGAACATTTCTGAACTATCATAAGACGATCGCCAGTTCATCTCGTAAATTTTAAGTGAACAAGCATATTTTCTGCGCAATGTCGGCACGCATTCATCGATAAGCAGGTGGGTGCGAAGTAGCGCTATCGCTCGATTTACTTGCTCCTTTTTCCTTAGTTCATCGATCTTCTTTGTGACGCCTCCAGATACACAATTCAGTACGATTCCTATGATGCAGAGAATGAAGACAACTAACAACATGTTTGACAGGTGTGGGTACGACGATCCTTTGGTGTTATTGTAAGCAAAAGTATCATCGTAATCGAATTCGCCGAGCATCAGCGTGATGGTCTTTACATAAGAGTAAGGTATATAACCCAAAGTCGTGTTATCCAAAAAGATAAAATGAAAAGACACGGCAAATGCGAGCAAAAAGAGGAAAAGGGGCAGAAGAAGCAGCATGAAGCGAAATAATGGCATGGTATCAATGGGTATAAGTCCCGAGAACCGAGGAATCTTGTTCAGAGTTGCCACAACGTGAACACACACCAGCAGCACTGCCAGCACTTCCAGCTGCCACACGATGGTCTGAAAAGTCATGTATAATTTTAATTTAAGTCAAGTCTTAAGTCGAGTGTACTGAGTCTCTCTTAAAAGTGTTTGGTTTTTATCGAAGCTGTAAAAATTAATTGTAAAATTGAATATCTCTCTCATGTATAACTGGGATCCTCGTGCAGTGAAGAAACACAAACTCCCCTCCAAGGCACTGATCTTCTGTTATGCAGATACAATTGCTGGTGAACTGAAATGTGAACTAATTTTTTTTTTCGTTTAATATGGTTAATGTCCGATCCTAATTTTATACATTAAATTGATTTAGAGACCATCTGGTCAATACAGCTCATGTAGGAGAACATTGGGGAATTGATTCGTATATCTACATTTTACAGGAGGAACGAAATTACATTTCGTGCGTCAAGAATTGGTTCATTCTTTAATATAACTATTGAACAATTATCTCCCAGCGGTTATTGTATGCTGCATTGCTGCAAATATCAAAAATGTTATAAAGCCATTACTGACAGAATAAGCACTGCGATATAGTCAAGATTTATTATTATAAATTTGAACTACCCTTATATTCTATGTTTAAACTGGTCTACACGCCTGTCTAGCGTCCTCCGTTGCAGGTGTGTCGTCGACGCTTAAAGACGGACATTTTTCGTCTTGAATTCTGAGCATATTTGTTTTTATCCGTTTTTATTCTCTCTCGTGTCACATTGTTTCGCTCATCAACGAAAAACTTATTCAGTATGCAACGTGACCTCGAAGCTCTTTCGTACCAGTGCCAGACATCACCATAATCTGATCATTCGATAAATCGTTAATTATAATAGACAATATCACAAACCTGTCGGCAGCCCAGGAAAAAGTCACATGGACTCAGCGCCAGCAAGAGGAGCCCCAGCGCCACAAGACGCAGCAGACGCCCGACTCCGTGAACGTCCTCAGTTGATGCGCTTGTGGTGCCACAATGACGCAAAGAAAAGAGCGAGGAAAAACACTTCGGAAATGCCACACTAGAGACCTGTTGAAACATATATTTATAAAACATTGTCAAGAAAAATAATATGCGTTTAAAAATTACTTTTTAAAGACCACACTTCCAAAGAATACAGTGTCTCCTATGTTACACATCTACAATGAATTTCTAATTTTATTTCCATATATTAATGAAAATTAATTTTTAATTTATTTTTAATATTAATATATGAAAAAAATTAAAAATTATTTATTATGTCAATTGATTCATGCCTTGTCTTCAACTTTGCACAAGTGTGCAAAATTTCAGATTGATTGGACAGGTAGAAGTGTGTTGAATATCGATTATAAGATTTGTAGAAGAAAAAATTATTTTTTCAATTTTTCAAATTACCAAAAATTTATTTTTTAATTTTAAAATTATATATTCTGTTAATTGATTCATGCATTGTCTTCAACTTTACGCAAGTGTGCCAAATTTTGGATCAATTGGACAGGTAGAAGCGTGTTAAATATTGATTATAAAATTTGTAGCAGACAGACAAACAAACAAACAGACAAGAAGTGAAGTTAAAGGGAAGTGTTGTAAAAAATAAGACCAGGTTTCCAAGATCAGATATGAAAATAAATTATAGGATTAAGATCTGAACAGGTACATATATTTGTAAAGATCACGAATGAAGTTTTGATAAGAAGTTAATGGTTGAATTTAGGTATGTCTTAACCGGGGCACCGCATGACCGGGCAGGTGATGATCTCGTTGTGGGCAACGGAGCATCCCTCATCGTGGTCTTATAAACCTTACAACGAGACCCTCCCTCGCGCGGCACAGGAATCTTGCACCAGCATCGTCATGCGATGCCCCGACGCTGCAATGCGCGATGGTTGAGGCCCTCATTAACAAGAGCGAGTCACCAACTATCATGCTGCCAACCATAGGCTTCGTCAGGACGTGAAATTATTTTCCGAGTAATTTAAAATTTTGATTCTCGAATTGGATCCACAGTACTCATTATTTGTACTTATTTCATCTTAAAATTTCAATTATAGGTGTTGCAAAACTTTCCATTTACTTGATAGTGAATATTATACTGTACAAACGTTGTACTATCATAATAAAATATCCCTTGTAAGCATTTGCATTTTCAAATACTATCAAAAGTTTCAAATACCAAATTAGGGAAAACACTAAGAAAATTATTATTAAGAAAGGCTCCCAGGTCTTCAAATAAGCAGGAATTCATCGAACTGTAAAGTTAAAATTACATAATGTAAGCATGAACTATAACATGAGCCTGCACATATCTGTTATTGCTATTTTTCATCAATTTTTAGCACATTTGTATCATTTATGGAAAAAAGGCGCTATTGTGCTCGTCATGTCCGTCTGTGATTTCATGGACGGACGAGAAAATGCGCTCTCTGTCACTCACTGCAGTGAGTACCGATCTAATTAATTTTATTAGTACTTTATAGTTCACACATCCTAACCTCTTAAATTTTTAGCTTTTTATTATTCAATGTTAGGGTTGATGATATAATCCCGAGTCGTAATTACAAAAGGTTCTTGCTTTGGATTATCACAGAAGCAATAGAAGTTTGCATTTTATGCACCATATGAATAAAAAATTGCAAGAGATACGTATATTGTAAAATAACATCTTGAAATATTTCAAGTACGAATTCATATATTGTAAAATTGTAAGAACTGCTCAAATATTACAGAACTCATATTCTTTTGAAATGCAAAATGAAATATTTTAAAATAATTCCAATATAAAGGTAAAATTTATCAATTAGCCTGGCGTTGACCAATAAGACTGGTTAGGCCTGTCGTCGATTTTTGTACTTTTCGTAACGGTTCACAGATCTAAAACTAGCCTTTTGACCAGAACTCTTCAACTGACAGTGGTTTGAAGTAGTTACTGGACTTTTATTTGTTCCGTTGGGTACTAGGGAACTGAAGACTGAACATATGCTTCTGCATAGCCTTGTCTAGTTCATTCTTGAACGTGTTTTACTCGGAGAGTTAACAATATCATCGCGGGAGGCTGTTCCACATGCCGGTGACTCGAAGCAAGATGAAGTGTTGTCGCTTGGATGAGTTGAACAGCATTTTTTTAGCTTATAGACGTAGCCTCTAGTGCTGGTTCTTGTTTCAGATTCTAGTAATCTGAATCTGGTTCAGTCCGGGCAGGGTGGCCCAGTGGTTACAGTTAAGAGTACCAAAATTGGAGCAGAGAGGTGCGGGTTCGATCCCAGCTCTGTGCGCCAGTTTCTGGTCAGAATCGGCGAGGAGGCCGGGCGGTTAAGCAGAGCAGAATTGTAGCAGTGAGTTGCGAGTTCGAGACCGCAAAATGCTGTGAATGTTCTGCGATGTTAAGAATCGGCGAAAGGCCTGCGGCCTACTAAACGCTGAAACCGCTATTATTTATTATTATAGTAATCCTTCTGGGACCTTGTACAAACCATGAGTATATGTACTTGTATACTTCAATGAGGTCACCACGCAGCCGACGATAACGGAGACTGGGAAGCTTCATAATCTTCAATCTTTCTTCATAAGACTTGCCTTTTAAGCCTGGAATTATCCTTGTTGCACGTCTTTAAATACTCCATTAAATTTTTGTCCTTTTCAAGTCTCGGTGACCGCACGGCGTTTCCAAACTCTAGGTTTGGGCTCACGACAGCAATAAACAACCGCGTCATCGCTTCTGCATCAAAAAACTTGAAGGAGCGCCTGATCAACCCAAGCAGTTTATTAGATTTGTTTCCTTGCGTTTCAATATGCTTAGAAAATTTCGGATCCTTGTCGACATAAACTCCCAGATCTTTTCCCTACTGTCGACTTTTCAATCAAACCTCTCTTGTTGCAATCATATCTTCTCCTTCTCATGCTGTATATTAGCTTTCCATTGTTCCTGCAAAGTGAAGTACTTAACCCTAGTGAGCTTTTTGTTGCGGTGCTACTAGGAAAGCGTGGATGAGAACAAGAGGATTGTGTAGGGGTGATCTGAAAGAAGATAGTGAAATGGGAAGGTCAGTAGGAGATGGAAAAGACGCACTGCGCATGATTTTGGGTGTTGTAGATGAATGGGGTCTATTTGGGGTTGGGAGGGAGGGGGAACACGTTAGGGCTTTGTGGGCTGGGAGTTAGTGGAGGAACCCGTCAGGGCTTTGGATGTTTTAAGCGGGTAGGTGATGAGAAGGTGGGGGTTCTTTATTCACATTACTTACACTTTGAGCACTGTTAAACAAAAATAAAAATGATGTGTGCTCGTGCTCATCATATCATCTATGGGATGATATGATGACGATGACGGTGATAACGACGGTGATGATGATACTGAGGATTGTGAGTCGCTCAAGACTCAGAGGGTAGATTTTGTAAGGTATTGCTGGATTTTCGGTAGCTCGTCGGTCTCGTCTTTAGTGTGGGCCACTCTCTGTGAGTTGCGTCAGTCCGTTAGCGTGGTTGTGTATTGGATGAGGTGGGTTTTTATGGGATCAGCCTCACCCAGACGCGATGGAAGCAACTGCCGTCCGGGTGTGGGATGGTCGCTGTGTAGTTAACGGTACAGGGGTGGAGGTGGGGGACCTAGCGCGTGTAATAGGACCTTCTTAATAACCGGTGCTGTCTTGCTATGGCGTCCGGGGGGAACGTGAGTTAATTGAAGGGTTTGGGATCATATGTTTTGATTACGGAACAAGTTTTGCGTGCTTGCTGGAGGACTGCATTTATTTTAGGCATGTCGCATTGTTCGTGTAGTGTTTGGGATGATATGAAGTTGGACCAGTGTGTGTTTGGGATAAATCAGAGGGCTTTGTTTTGTACTGTCTGCATTTAGGATATGGATGATTTTGATTGGGTGTGTAACGGTATCGGGGGGGGGAGGGGTAAATGAGGGATGGTGGCAGGTGGTAAAATTATATTTGGTGGCAGGTGGTAAAATCAGTGTATTTTGTGTAGATTGGTGAGGGCCATTGCTTTTCTTTTCGCTATTTTTGCGCCGAAGCCGTGTGTAGTGAAGGGTAAACCTAAAACTGTTCCTTTTCTCGTGTATGGATAGTGGGTGTTGTCAATGAAGATGTCTATTTCTTCCAATGATGGGTATGATTTTAAACTTATTTGTGTTTTTCCTTATGAGCCATCTGTTGTACGGCGTTTAATGTTTGTTTTGCATCGTGGTTGTGTGGGCAATGTCCTGTAGTTATTTGTGTTGTGTCATCTGCTAAGGCTATGGAACTTAGCTGGTAGTGGTGGTGAGAGGTCGTGGGTGTAGGAGCTGTATAGTACGAAGGAGAGACAAGCCCCTTGAGGTACACCTGTATGAAGTTGTAGCGGGGGACCTACGTGACTACCTATTCTTATGGATGCTGTTCTGTGCAGTCTGAGGTAGTGGTAGTCTAACAGTGTTTTGATGATGGACGGGTGGAGGTTAAGTTGAATAATCTTGTATTGGAGTTCGGTGTGCCGAACCTTGTCAAAGGCTTTGGAAACATCGCGGACCACTATGTCAGAGGCGTGTCTTTGTGTTGTATTGTTGTAGCGGATCTCGCTACATAAAACTAAAATTATGTATATCATATCCCGCTACCTAGAACTAACTTAACTAAGTTTATGTTCATATTAATAATTACAATGTACATTAAAATCATATGCATATTAAATAACATTAAATAATTATAAATCATCACGAGTATAGTTCGGAGCAGCTCAGTCGTAAAAGTGCCTCCTGACATCGAACAGACAAAATTTCGCGTATGCTCTCTAACTTAGAAACTCTGCCCTTAGAATAGCTCTTATTTACTGTGTTAAGCGTAAGAATAAAGTCACGTCATAGACATTGCAAGTTTTTAGTAATCAAATATTCATTATAACGTAGCTCACGTGACATATAGCTCACTTGTGGAATGTGTTGTAAATTGTGTATTAACGTTGCCATATTTCGCAGTGTCCCCAACATCGGCTCACATCTGGTCCCTGCAACGTGCAAACTCGTGCAAGCTCCCATCTCTGTCGGCTTCTCAGCCAGCATCTTGCCG